CGAGACTAGACAGCAGAGAGCTTGGTTCCGGGAGAAGAGCTTTCGAAGGCAGTAATAACAATGTTAAGAAGCAAGAAATAAATTGTTATTGAGCTTTGAACAGTATCTATCATAAGTTTGTTAGAAAATTCGTGTCCTTCCAATGATTGTTGAAATCCTTATTTATAGTGGCACCTAGGGAACAAGGTCCTAGGATCAAGCCTCTCTTAAATGATAATTATGGGGGCTATTGAAGAATGTGTAACGACAGGCTATGAATGCCATATTCTCTATCACGGATTATGTATTTAATACTACAGAATATTCTCCATTGAATGCTATCGGGTGATAGGTATTCACCTGTCTTCATGAGCAACATTTCCTTCGGGGGCTTCCCAACGCCAACCGAGACTAGACTGTTGCCCTCGATCGGTCTTGACTTCCACCTGTCTTGCTTTCCATTTGTTTCTGGTTCCACGTGTCACTCTATAATACGAGTATTTAATATGAACCGATTTTACCCTATACATTTATGATTGTAGCCCTTTACGTTACAGAATAGTAGAGCATAAAATATTAATTTCTTTCACCTTTTTTTTGTTCATCGTTATTTAGCTATTTGTACAACATGCCCCTTTACAATTTTATAATAAAGAAAATGATATTTTTAATTCTCTTATGTGTAAAAGACAAATCTCTTACGTGTAAAAATAAATCTCTCATGTGTAAAAAAAAAGTCATATGGTCATAAAACTAAAAACAAGTGTGTAATGACCCTACAAAACCGATTGACCCGTAAAAGCAGTCGTTTACTTTTGAGCCCCTTTATTTTTTCTCACACATCTTATTTCCTTTTAATCATATCAGCCAAATAAGAAATAAGCACAAAAAGAATATAACTGTTAACATTAGTTTTTTCAAGGAAAAGGGTCAGAATATATATATATATNTTATTTAACTTGAGAGCTAAGTAGTATAAGTTGTAAAAAAAAAAAAGTAGTATAAGTTGTAGTCTTGTAGAATAGATCGATGTTTGTGCACATATCGAAGTTTTAAACTAATGTTCCCAGCTAATGGAGAAAGCTTAAAATAATATATGTACCAATTGTAATATCGACTAGTACGTCTGTAGATAGATAAATTAAAAGCAGAGCCGAATCCCGAATTTAAATTTTATGGGTTCAACTTTTAAAATTTTTAGCATTGAACCCATTACATTTTTAAAGTTATGGGTTCGTATCTACTATTTTTGTAATTTTAATAAATTTTTATATATAAATTTTTACTCCGCATTAAAAATTATGGGTTCAATTGAACCCGCTGATTATATACTACATCCGCCCCGATTAAAAGAGTATATTTGTCGGTATCACAGTTTACTATGTCGGTTAATATGAAGATCTTACTATTCACCGACTAAAAGCGTTATATTAATGGTTATAGCCTTATAGGCTCAGATATCAATATCTGTGGCCTTAAAGATCTAGACAAATCATGGTTGTAATATATAAAATAAACAAGCTAAGCAGGAATAACAAAGCATATGCTGAGAAGATCACGTTATATCTTTCTTGGAGTGTCCAAGATTTCTATAAAACAAATTGATCTCTTCTTAAACTAAGCTCTTGATTAAAGTAAGTTTGGAAATGGAAGACTTCAGCCCACTGGATTTGAACAAAATAAAGAAGAGTTTAACTCATGTGAACTAATAGTGAACAAGTTTTTCATACCATTAAATTAAGATTACTTATATATAACAACAGAAAATTTTAATATAGTAACATAAAATTACAGGAAATAACTTGTTATAATTGATAAAATTACGCTGATAGTGTAAACTGCGCTGATTAGTTTATGTAAATTAAATCTAATAAAAAATAGAGCCCCTCGTGACTTCAGCCTCAGTCCTTGCTGTCTATTGGATCAACATCATGTGCTACGAAAAGCTCGCTGAGCCTTTCTATTACGCACTTAAATAATCCCAGCACAGGTTTCTTTGTTAACAGACTTAATTGTTCTTTTTGTCCGTCTCTTTTGCTTTTTGGAGTTTATTGATTTTTATTCTTTAAAATCATCCTCCAATACACGAACCTCGTAAAGCTTACAACAGTTATTTTTTTGGTTTACGAGATAGTTTTTTACGTAGTGTCAATAGGAACAAGAATTTAATTTGCATCGCAGTGAAAAAGAAAAAAAAACATGCTTTAATTTCTCCTTTAATAGTGGCTCTGGGAGCATAAATATAACCTATATATATGTTTGCTATATACTCCACTACTCGTAGTATGATTTAGTTTATTCATGAAAGTTCATCCCCACGTTTATTGAAGAATTTCTGAAATAACTTCAAGTAGAAATTAAATTGCAAAAAAAGATGTTTACTTGGAGCTCTGTAAAAGAATCATAAAAGATTCCGCTTGATCCATGCAAATTATTTATTTGGCACAAAAGAAGATGTTAACCGTCCAGCCGTATTAACTAATCTTGCTTGAAATACCTGAATAATATGTAGTATGAAAAGACAAAGACATTATTTTCATGGTCCATGGAATCTCAATTCCCTCCAACCATTGGATGCTCTGTGCAAGCATGTGTTCATGGAAAATCATCAATTGTTTTTCTTAATTTTGTTATTGAAAAATCTTAGCTAAGAAAATGATACTCAAAGTATAATTTTTTTTTATACTGTTAGTATTATTTAACTTGTTATACCAAGTTGGTTGCTTTAATTTATATTTTTCATATTCCGTTCATGGACACAGTTGCCTGTAATTTACCTTTTAGATATTCTTCTTTCTCATTTAGAGGAAAAGGTGCGGAAGAAAAAGAAAACAACGGAGGGATCTGAATCGGACCTAAATGGGAATGACATAAAAAATCCTTTTCAAAACCTAGCATTAAGGGCGTTACGACGATATACGAGAGGAATAGAGTTGCAAAAAGTATCAATCCTACGAAGATTGTAATAAATTACCAAGTATTAGGGGTGTACATGAACCGGGTTAGTTCGGTTTTTATCAAAACCAAACCAAACCAACTATATCGGTTTGGATTGGTTCGGTTTTGTCAGGTTTTTCGGGTTTTCGGGTTTTTTTTGTTACATGAATATTATTCCAATCTTACTTTGTTAAAGTTATAGATAAAGTTTTGATAAGTGAATATATGTTTAGTAAATATTAAAAAAATTGACAAACGTATGATCTATTAAAATATTATAATGGAAGAATTTTTTTAGTAACACATGATAGTTATTTTCATAGTCCTCTAACAATAATTTTCGTTAATACATGCTTTCAAGGTTAACACATGAGATGATCCCAAATATTTCAACATTTTTAAAGAAAATTCAATATAAAGTCTTAAAAATATATATAAAAATTTTATATTTATATGTCGGTTTGGTTCGAATTTTTTTACTCAATACCAAACCTAGTCAAACCAAACTTAGTCGGATTTTTTAATCGATTTGGTTTGATTTTTCGGTTTGGTGCGGTTTTCCGATTCGGTTTGAACACCCGCCAAGTATGCATACCATGTTAATATGCTTAAGTTGCCAATTTAGACTTCATCATGTATCTGTACTACTGAATCAAAAGAGGTTCCAGGTAGGCTACGTATGAAGACAATAAAAATACGTCTATATTTTAAGATATAAAAACCTCATTTGACAAGATTCCTTTTAGTCTTCCCCTTCTAATCAGCTAAACTAAAACAAAGTATTCAATGATTAAAAGCAAGGGCTTCATCGCTTTACCACCAATGGGACTTTCTTAGTCTTAGATCTCTTAAGAACGTGACACCATAGAAATATGACATTACTTAGCTCCTTCTAACCGTGGTATGTACAGTACTATATCATGAGAAAGAGTTTCACTGAACTAGTAGTCTGATCTCTCTCTCAAAAAAAAAGGTATAAACATTTGTTGTTCAAGGCACAAAGATTCAATTAATCGAGGTTCGCGTTATGTTGACCAACTAAAGCTTTTAAGTAACAACGTAGCCTAGAAACAAGAAGGAATTAACATGTTGAATTAAGTTGATATGACTTATCACTTGAATGAACGTATACAATTACACAATCAATGTCGAGCAACATGATTATTCTAAAAATATTGATATCTATACTAGTTCGAATTAACGTGAACAATACATAAGATAGATGATAGATCAGCTATATATAAAGATAATGACTCATACTACTGCCAAGTCAAGTGAAGAAGGCAGAAATTCAATGTGGAAATGGCCATATCAGAATATGGAAATTGCATTTGATCAGTTTATAGAGCAAAAGAGAGCTCTTGAACTAATAGTAGTAAACTACTTGATCTGTCAAGTAGATACTGAAGATCAGATATGCATGGATTCATCTCATCACGAGTGACCTCACTACGCCAATATAAAAAACATGTAAAAACAACGATATATAGATAAACAAAAAAAAACCCCAGTTAAGAGGGTCGGTGATGAGTAACGCTTATTTTTGCTTTCTCGGGTTTCTACGTGTCGCCTGTTGTATTTCCCATTTCAGGAAAGAACATGTTTGCCTGAAATATGAATCTTGACCAGTCAATCCCTCCTCCTCTCCTTCCTTTCTGAGCTCGGAGAAGGGGAAAAACTTTTCTACATCTGGTGCTTACACCAATAAATAACAATTGATGTAATTGTAAATATCAAGATTTTCCTTGGAGAAAACTACTAGCTTCCTTAATTACGTCATGAAAATTATTTCCTTACTTATAGAGGAGAGCTAGTGAGTTTCTTTGCTGATATCATGAATTAGTTTCATATTTCTAAAAATTACTCAAGAGTAGTACGTAGATGTAATAAAATAACATGGTATTACGTGTATTTTCTGACACATTCACGTACACTTACACACATTAAGAGAGAGTAATAGAACGCCGCACCCACGCCACCCCCTCGGGGTCGGGATGGATGCATAGAAATTGCTAGCTTAGCTACTTGTTCATAACATCCAACTTTAGTTCAACCACAGAAAAAAAAGGAAAAAGAAAAAGAAATTAACAGTAAGAAGAAAGAGAGCTAGAATAGAAGGGCAGATCTCTAGAAAATGGATTCTTCTTTCTCTCTCTCTCTCTCCCAAAACCCTATTTAAAGACAAGCTAAGCACACTCATTTCTTCAATGCACTTGTCTACTCCTCTTTTTATGTTTCTCAAAGCACCATTTTGACACTCTTCATAACTTCTTTCTCTAATTTTATTCCACATTAATTGCACACGCTTCATCAATCACCTCTGAAAGCTAAGCTGCTTCTTGTTTCTTATTTAGAGAAATATATTGAACAAGTATTTGAAAGATGTCTAGTAGAAGGTCAAGATCAAGACATTCAGGAGGTTCAAGAATAAGTGAGGACCAAATCAATGATCTTGTTTCAAAGTTGCAACAGCTTCTTCCTGAGCTCCGGAATAGGTCCTCTGACAAGGTAATTTAATTTAAGTTGTATGTAGGTCTTATTTCTTATGTACTCAAATATATAATTAATCCCCAAATGTTCACCTCCACCGCCATCCAAAACCCCCGTGACTTGCCCTCAGAAGGTGATTCAGGATTTTCACGAAAATTATGATAAAGCGGTCTAATGGACCTTGCACATAAGACCTTACACAAATTTTCATCAATTTCTTAAGCATTTGCTCTAGAAACATTTTTGCGTCAATAAAGTTCAATAAGTAATACATTTATCTATCTAAACAATGAAATTTTAGGGTATGGACTATATATTGAACCCCCCTTGTAACAATGTAGGTCCGCCCCACCGACCCTCCTCCTAACCTTTTTTTGGCACAATGAGGGAACAACCCTAAAATGTTTGGAGGCATCTTTTATTTGTGATTAAAAATAATAAAAGTAAGCTTTGAAAAGATATATGTATTAAGAATAATCTAATTTCTTGTGATTTCCTCTTGAAATCAGTAAAATTCATTAATGTGTAGTAGTTACTGAGGTTTCATTGTTTTAAGGTCTTGGATTTGGAACATTGAAACCCAAATACTAGTATGATCTTATAACAGAAATTCCTACATATAGGATTCTTTTTTGTTGTCCGATCCCTTGATTTGTTGAACTTACTAAACTTAATTTTCTGATCTGAGTAATATATGTATTTGTTTAAAACATAGAGTTATTCCAATCTGAAATAATATAGTTATTTGGGCTTAATTTGGTGCAGGTTTCAGCAGCTAGAGTCTTGCAAGAGACATGCAACTACATAAGAAGCCTACACAGAGAAGTTGATGATCTGAGTGACAGATTATCAGAACTTTTGGAAACTTCAGACACTACCCAAGCAGCTCTAATTAGAAGCCTACTTATGCAATAGTCTCCTGTTGCTATTTTATTTTTATTTTCCCACTTTGCTTAATTATGCAGTTACCATTTTGTTTTTGGGGTTTTCCTCGGACTTTCTCTTTAACTGTTGACTGCTAGAAAAAAATGAGAATCCCGTTATGTTTCTGACTTGAACTTCTCGAGTTTTAGACTTTGCAAAGTTCACTCTTATATTATTATATTTTGAACATTTTAGTAGCATTCACCCGTGTGACTATTGAAATTGAAACGAGAAAAACACCCTACTTATGAAGTACTAGAAGTCTGTCTATAGTTTTTTTTTTTGGGTAAAAAATAAAAACCTTGTTTCAACCAAATGTATCATTATATACAAATTAACTCTAAACAATAACCTCTTAACAACAATTGAAGATAACACAACCAATAAGCTATCAGAGGTTCAACACGTCACCTTTTAGGAAGGGTACCTTTTAACTCTCTTCATTTAGCCCTTTGTCTCTAGTTAAATCGGGGTAAATTTGACAAATAGTCATGACACAAAAATCATAAGGTTGTTGCCTACTCATACAAAAAATCACAATTGCCGAAAAATACAACTTTTCGTTGCAATATTCTTTTACTCCATTTTTTTAATTTTTTATCTAATAAATATTGACGCAATTAAAAGAGGACTGACCTAATCCGACTCGTCCTAATTAAAAGAGGATTAACCCAACCTGAATTTTAAAGTTGCCCTTTTGTGGCATTAATTACTGGGATTTTTTCTTATATATAAAATTAGGATAATATTTACCCAGTTTAACTAGATTTTCTTATTTACAAAAAGTAACTAAATTTTATTATGTACATGTATAAGTCTAGTAAAATGCTTCACCTTTCGTTTCAATTTAGACGAGGTAGTTTGACTTTGACATTAATTATTAGGAAAAAAAAAGACTTTTAAAACTTGTGGTCTTAAAAACTTAAGGGGTAAAAGCTTTGTGGTGCCATGACATTTGTATGATTATAAAAGTTTCTCATTAAGGGTAAAATGGGTAAAATAAAATATTTAAAGTTGAATTATTTCAAATTGTAGAAATGCGTCATTCTTTTTGGAACAGATTAATAAGAAAAATGTGTCATCTAAATTAAAACATAGGGAGTACAATTTAAATAAAACTTCATATAATTTGTTGTTGTACAGAATTCGGTAAAAAGTTATACTTTACAACTTATATACAACTTGTATGTAGTTTTTTTATTTGGGTACAGAATCCGATCAAAAAGCTACAATTTACATATAACTTATATACAGCTTGTTTATAGTTATGTTAGTTGTAAATATTTTTATGTCATTTGTACGCCCGACATGCGAAATACATATAATCTATTAATATTTTCTTGTTCGAGTTTCCATCCAAAACCAGCTCGAATTTTTACCAAATTTACTCAAAATTGAGATTTAAACTCTAAATTTTTTTTTTCAATCATTTGCAATAACACCAAATCCAAACAAAATAATAATTTCGCAAATTTAATTTTCGGATTCAAATCTCCCAAACTTGTTAATGGCTGTCAATAAAGAAATTGTCATCCCTATAGGCAGATATTGATATTGACATCTTCGGGAAGGTTTACCTGAGAAGTTAAAAAAAGATCTGGATTCAGGGATTGCTGATGATGATGTTATCCCATAACACATTCAAGCTATGTTACTCGCGCTCTTCAAAAATGTTGTTGGGTACGTATCGGATCCTCTAAATTTAGTACATTTTTGAAGGATTCGATACGAATGCGGCAACACTTTTGAAGAGTTTGAGCAACATAGTATTCAAGACCTGCTACAGATCCTTTTTGTTCCTGTTGGCTGTTTCCAATTTGTTTCCGAACAATGAATTAAGTTTGATATTGCACAACTTGGTTTGGAAATCTATTTTGCTATTCAAAATCATAAAGAAATTTTGGCACCACGGAAGGTCTGTTTCCCGTTTTTTATTTTGTGGTGAATACTATTTAGGGAAATTACCAATTATGTTAGCCTATAAGTAAGTTAGTACAAAAATTAGTAAATTCATAAAATATTACTATTATTAGCCAATTAGTTATTTGTAGTAAAAAATATCATAATTTTTCTTTTTTTGTGAGTGGGTGTTGTTGGAATAGATTGAAACATCTTAAGGAGTTTAAATCTCAGTTTTGGGATGATTTGGTAGAATTTTGAGGTAGTTTGAATTGAAAATTTGAAGTAAAAGATGAACATGGAAAAAGATAATATGTGTATCACACTAAGTATCATTTGTGTATGATATATGTATCATATTTGTGTCAAATGTGTATCACATGTATATCCATGTATAATTGTGTGTGAGATACATGTGTCGCGGAATAATTTTTTGAATTCGATTTTAATTGCAAATTTTGATACCAAATCAGTCCAAATCACCTCCAATCTTCCTCAAATTTTGTGTATTGACTCATCTATATATTTTCGATTAATTTTGACCATACCTATTGAAAAAGATCCCCTTTTACTTAGATTTTGGAACCTTATATGTATGTTTTTTTTTATATTTCATCACCTTGTTTGCCACCTCATCCATGAAATTTTCTTTTTATCTTACATCTAATGTTGTTGATCACGCTTAAAAATATTGAAGGAGATCTTTGCGTGTGATTCTTGGAGAAATAAAATCCTTATTTATTTGAGTTTTTATTTTTTGGATGTGCTTGGCTAACTTTGGTAAGTGTATGATTAATGACTAGAGGTTGGTAGGTTATGACTTATTTGGGATATTTCCGTAAAATCTTTTTACTAGTTTGTTGCTATGCTACAATTACTTTATATATAAATGGTTATATATTAAATTATAATTAAGTTAAAACTTTTCTAGTATGAGTAAATAAGTTTCTAATATAGTATAGTTAGGTAAACATTCCTCAAACTATTGAATACTAAATTGTCACGACCCGAAATTCCCACCCTCGGGACCGTGATGGCACATAACATTTCATTTGCTAGGTAAGCCAACGTTAGGTATAGTTATTAACTATTTTTAACAATTCAAATTAAATAAAAACTAGTAAGCTAAATAAACTGAAATAAAGCAGATAAATATGATAAAACGGCGATATCCAAACACAAATCCCAGAACTGGTGTCACGGATACACGAGCATCTAGAGTACTACAAATAATAGTCTGAATGAAAGCATAACCGTCTGAATCGAAATAAACAGCCAGGGTAATGTAGAAGGGGAATTCAGGGTTGCGAACGTTGTGCACCTGTACCTCAAGTCTCCGGCAAGCATTGGATCCGAGCAATTAACTGACCGCCGCTAGGACCAATTCCAAAATTTGCACAGGAAGTGCAACGTGTAGTATAAGTACAACCGACCCCATGTACTCTGTAAGTGTCGAGCCTAACCTCGACAAAGTAGTGACGAGGCTAAGACGGGTCACTTACAATAACAAGTGCGCAGTAGTAATAATAATAATAATAATAATAATAATAATAATAATAATAATAATAATAATAATAATAATAATAATAATAATAACAACAACAATAACAATAACAACAATAATAGTAATAATAATAACAATAATAATAATAATAATAATAACAATAACGACAACAACAATAACAATAACAATAACAATAACAATAACAATAACAACAATAATAATAACAACAATAACAATAACAACAATAATAACAACAATAACAAGAACAATAATAATAGTAATAGTAGTAGTAGAGAAGGGTCACATGAAATGACGATAAAGCAGTTAATTTATGAAAATGAACTCAATCATCGCAACCAGAGAATCCAGAATATGAGACCTCAAAATATCATATAAAATACTATAAACTAACACAATAATACAATGAGTACTACATACACAATCCGTCGCGGCACGCAATCCGATCCCACCGTACACACACAATGCTCCCTAATTCCACCACACGCAACCCGATCCCACCATATCATTATAATCAATATCAAAATCCTCCGGTATTCTACCATATCATAACTGTTACGGCGTGCAACTCGATCCATAAATAATTTCAATAAATGTAATCAATCCAATATCTAAATTACAAGAATCTCTACAATTAAAGAATATGAAAGCAAAGAAATAAAGGAACACACACTAATCAATGGAATGCTAAAAATAGTACAAAAAAAACAAGACAAGTCAAGTACGCGACAATTAAGGTGTGCAAGTAAGAAAATTAAGGCAAGTAGTAATTAACCACGGAGTCATGGAAGGGACGAACAATTCAATACAAGAAAAATTAATGACAAGTAACAATTTACGGCATAGAAAGCAATTAAAGCATGTAACAGTTAAGGCATGGAGTAAGATAACTCCTGAAATACGAGAAAGCATGGAAATAATTATTTTGACGGCGTATATACATTTGTCACCTCGCATATATGTCGTTACACACGTACTTCACATAATATATAGCTCAAGGGTCCCTAATTCCCTCAAATCAGGGTTAGACCCAATACTTACCTCGCTTTGCAACTAACTCACAGCTCAACCGAGGCCTTTCTTCTAAAATTCGCCTCCAAACCAATCGAATCTAGCCAAAATCGACTTAATATCATCAACCAATACTAGGGAAATCAATTACAATAGATAAAGTAAAGATCTTTACACTTTTCCCAAAAAGTCAACAAAAGTCAACCCTGGGCTCGCTTAGTCAAAACACGAGATTCAGACCAAAACTCAATAACCCATTCACTCCCGTGCACGATTATGTGATTAGTTTCGAAATCCGACCTCAATTTGAGGTCTAAATCTCAATTTTACAAAATTTTCCAATTCTACCAAAATCCCTAATTTTCTACCATGAAAGAGCATAAATTAAGGTTAGAAATCAATGTGTGTTAATGGAAATGGAAGAAAACGAGTTAAAGTATACTAACCTATGATGTGGGGATGAAATTCTTCTTCAAAATCGCCTTTAGGCCGAGCTCTAATGTGAAGATGGTAAAAAATGGGTTAAATCCTAATTTTTAGAAGTCTTAAAGACTGGGCGTCAGGTATCCTTCGCGTTCGCGAAGCACCTGACGCGTTCGTGAAGAGCACTGGTCAAAAGGCCATCACGATCGCGGTCAAACCTTTGCATTCGCGAAGGCTTATCCCCCTGCCTTCGTGAGCCAACGCCCGCGTTCGTG